CCTGACACGGTTCATCTTTGGAAATCTGAAATGTAAAGAACACTCACTAAATGTTTGTTCCCAATATAGAAAACAGTCCTCCCTATTCCTGCACCTTACATTTTGAGTATTACACAGGACCTGTGTGTATGTGCGCTTCTAAATGTAGCTTTCATTCTTCTATACTTGTAATTTCAAAACGCAGTTCCCCCCTTTTATGCAGCTTACATATCAAGTGTTACGCAAGACTTGTGTGTTTGAACAGTACTTAATATCATTTCAATTACTTTATTTTAGAGAGTAAGTTGGTCGTTGGAGACCAAAATTACCTCTGGAGGGTTGGTTGAACAGAATCCACATGCATCCACGTCACCAGCCTGACACAGTTCATCTTTTGAAATCTGAAATGTAAAGAACACTCACTAAATGTTTGTTCCCAATATAGAAAACAGTCCTCCCTATTCCTGCACCTTACATTTTGAGTATTACACAGGACTTGTGTGTATGTGCGCTTCTAAATGTAATTTTCATTCTTTTCTACCTGTAATTTCAAAACTCAGTTTTTGAAATTTCTGCAACATACCTGATGAGCATTACACAAGACCTGTTTGTATGCATGCTTCTCAATGTACCTTTCATTCTTCTGTACTAGTAATTTCAAAACTCAGTCCTCCTTATTCCTGCACCTTACATTTTGAGTATTACACAGGACCTGTGTGTATGTGCGCTTCTAAATGTAGCTTTCATTCTTTTATATGTGTAATTTCCACCCTCAGTTCCCCCCTTTTATGCAGCTTACATATCAAGTGTTACACAAGACTTGTGTGTTTGAACAGTACTTAATATCATATCAAAAACTCTATTTTAGAAAATAAGTTGGTCGTTGGAGACCAAAATTACCTCATGAGGGTTGGTTGAACAGGATCCACATGAATTCACGTCACCAACCTGACACGGTTCATCTTTGGAAATCTGAAATGTAAAGAACACTTACTGAATATGAGTTTGTTCCCAATTTAGAAAACAGTCCTCCCTATTCCTGCCCATTACATTTTGAGTATTACACAGGACCTGTGTGTATGAGCGCTTCTTTATGCAACTTTCATTCTTCTGTACTTGTAATTTCAAAACTCAGTCCTCCCTATTCCTGCACCTTACATTTTGAGTATTACACAGGACCTGTGTGTATGAGCGCTTCTTTATGCAACTTTCATTCTTCTGTACTTGTAATTTCAAAACTCA